ATATATATATATATATATATATATATATATATATATATATATATATATATATATATATATATGACTTATTGACTTATTGCGATTGATCAGCGGATTAGTCGATTTTGAAATTTCCAGTTCTAGAGGTACTGTAAGATTTTTGAAATTCCGAGTTTCAATGGTAATTAATAAAAAAAATGAGGCAGCTTGTCCGAATTTTTACTTTGCAGTAAGGTCATTTAATCAATTTCTAGACTTCAAAAAGCTTTTCCATTCGATTTAAGAAGTGAATTTCACGGAAGGAGGGACAAGGAGACACTGAGAAATGTGTAAGGGGCAAATAAACGCCACAACTATAATGCTTACAACTTGGATTATGCGAAAAATTCCAATGTGAAAAAAACCTGTTCCTCTGCAAAAAATTTATTACTCTTAGGAAGCTGGTTTCATTACTCAGCAAGCATTCTTTCAACCATCCTTATCGTCGATTGATTTCTGCTAATGCTAAATCAATAATACGACAAGGATCATTGGCATGGAAAAACCGGTACAACTGCAACAAAACAACAGGACAGTTTTAAAATCAAGCGGTTTAATAACAAGCGTTTTAATAATACCATAACAAGCGGTTTAATAATAAGTATGCATAAATAATAAATGTGTAAATAAACAGGCTTTTTTGTCTGCATCTAATAACTTGGCTAATTAGCTGTTACGCTTTAAAAAAAAGAAGGAATTTCGTGGGTGCTTTTGAATCACGTAATTGTTAGTGGTAATTTCAGTAAAGATATTGCAAGTGTTAGCTAATTTTGGCAGGTGTACAATCTATATTGGATCTGATGTTACTGCCATCTTTAATATCACTATCGTTATTATGACTAACCGAGTAATTGTATTCATTATTTACTATTATAATTATTGTTACCAAGATAGAGTAATTACAATTATCATTGACACTGCTGTCGATATATATTTGCGAATCACTTGTTAAGATCTTTTGCTTTAAAAATCCTTTTCCATATTGTTACCATGCGGAAAATATTTATACGGGTAATTAGACAAAAATATGATACTACGCTCATATAGCATATGCGCTAGCATAGATGGGGTGATGTTATAGTTGGCCAATAATGGTGAATTCATCGTAGACTTGTTACCAACATTGTGATATTCTAGAATTTAACTACAAAATTTTATATTTAAGACTTCAGATTGAAGTAGGCGAAGTGCATTTGTCTCCTTATTTAATTGATGCTTAGCCCAGTAAACGCTAAGCAGAGTAGGTCTGCATTACTTCTTATGGGCATAGATATTAACCATAACCCGTACAATTTATAACAGTCAATTATAAATCCATCATTGATTTACAATTGCGCACACTAGTATGATTCCCCAGTATCTTAAAATCCTAATGTTCTCATACAAAACATGTTAAGGCAACAAAATGTTCGTAATTTCCTAAATTTACCATTATAATTTTTAAAAAAAGAACAGTATAGTGGCAATTATCCCTAGCCTGCACCATTTCACTGAATGTAAAATTCGTTTCTTCTTTGAATGACAAAAGGGAGATATATTCTATATTTAGAAATTTAATTATTTATTTACCACTTAATCAATGAAAGCAAAGACGATGCAAGGAAATCGTCCGGAACATATTATTAGATCAAATGACCATAGTCTTCAAAATTATTCAACAGCGGAGAAAAGATTCGAGAAAAGACTGGGGAGCACTGAAATAAAATAGAAAAAGGCGCAGGTAATAAGGAAGGAGGACTATGCTGTGCTAAATAGCAACAACTCACTATCTTATTACCGAATACAATAATCTGGATTAATTACAACTGTTGAATATATCAAACTACAGCTATACTATGCTAGGACTTCGCTAATAGCAATAAACCAATAATGAAATGATGAGATAAACTAGAGGAAGAAATGGACAATGAAAGCAGTCATACAGGGTAATTTAAAAGTTTGAAATGCAATTGCAAGTATTGCTGGAATTAGACTCAGACAATTAACTTCGCTGAAATAACGAGGATGGGATAGTCTATGGAAGAGAACGACCATAGAACAGTGGGATATGAGCATTGAGGTTCGCTGTTATAAACAAAAGAGTCATCTGAAGATTGCAGCATTATCAAGAAAAAAAAAAAAAAAAACAAGTGATATCTGACAACGACTCTGGACTCAGGATAGACGGAATAGGACAGCAGTCAAAATGAAAAAAAGGAGATGAAATACTTGAAGTAATTGTGGAACTACTTCGATTACTCCACAACTAATCCTGATCACAACAAGAAAAAAAAATTTGATTTTAATTCTGAAAAAGAAATTTAATTTTTGATTTAAAAAGAATTTAATTTTGGTTCGGACTTTGAAGGATTGATTCCATTCTTTATAAAGTCGGCAGTGTCATCAAATTCTTGCATTTTGGTTCAGAGAATTCTTGCATAATGCATTTTGGCTCAGAGTTTTTATTGTGATTCTCCACTGAAGCACAAGGGGCATCATCGTTATCAATCGAGATGGACACCAATATTGAACTGATTTGACACTTCTTCGTTTCTAGGTGGGTGGTTTCAGTTTTGTGGTTTTCGATAGATTATCCTCGCCTGCAATTTATTCGACAGTTTGGTTATGGTAGGATCTAACTGTTTGATTTCTATTAACATTTCATCCGAAAACTAACAGTGGAGTTTTAGTCCCAGATTTATTCAAAATTTCGAATCTCAACCTTGTTACCCAAAATTGGAATTGGAATTTCAGTTGTATTAGGAGCTGAAGCGTTCACGAAAGTAGAACATCATGCATTTCACCAAGCAGTTTAATATTAAGAGTTTAAGGTTCAACACTTATTATTTGTACTGAACAACTTAAGAGCATGTAATTGAGGATCGACAGTCGACGACGTCATCGAACGCACGACTGAAAGAGTTTGGCCCGTGGACAGAGCAGTATAGTTCAGCTGGGAAACGCTACTTCTATAATCGAGAAACTGAGGTGTCACAATGGGAAAAACCCCCCGAATGGCGAGAATATGAAAAGTTTCTATCTGAAAATGCCGCAAATCAGAGTCCTGTCTCATCTGCTTGTGAGTTTTTTTGCTCCTCATTTAATTAATTTTATCTTGTAAAGGCTATGACCAAAAACTATCCAATCAAAGGAATAGACTTTATTGCATAATGGATCTCTACATATCAGCCGATTAAAATATCGTGTTGTCCAAAATCTTTTTACTCTCATCACAAATCATATCGGTTAAACTTATCACAAATTTCACACAGTGTACCTTCGAACAAACAGTATCTAACTCGAAGAGGATTTTTTTCTCCTTGAATAATTTCTCTTATCTTTGATATTACCGTCGAGGTTGTAAGTCTTTTGCTGTCGTATTTATGAATATTTAAAAAAAGGTCTTGTCGTGCGCTTAATAGTACCTGTTTCTAGCTTGATGACCACTTCTGTAAAGTTCATCTATGATTGATTAGCAGCGGTACTGGGCTTAACAGATTCTAAATGCAATTAATAACCGTTATATTTCTATTTCAGCTTAAATTGTGGTTCCATTAAATTGCTAATCGTCCTAAATTACTTAAATTTCACTTACGCCTTACTCTTCGTTCTGAGTGAAATCAGGAAGCATCGTTAAAGTCCAATCGATTTATAGTAAGATGTTCATGTGGCTATATTTACTCATTTTTAAGTTAGTCTGAATTAATTGCCAAGAATAGACGAAGCCGAACTAGCTGTACCAAACATGTTTATTTTATCACCCATTGGTCGTGATCAACTAAAATTAGGAGGGATTTAAGATTTTGAGTTAAATTTGAACAGTTATAAAACATTAAACATCTACCTTATTCTTTTACGAATTATCAAGAATTACAAACTAATCAGTATGTCATTTAAAAAAATATGACTTCAGCTGGAGCTCGTATTGCTCCAAGCAGTAATGCTGCAGGAATATATGTGGCCAATTCAGCAGATTCTGCTACATCTGGTAATAATGGTGATGTGAAGGATAAAATAAAAACGCATGATATAACTCAGTCAGTCCTGAGAGTCAAACGCCCAAAAGTCGAAATGAAAGAAGAGGATGTAATTGGTTCTGTGGTTTTTTCGGAAGAACAGCACCGACGATTCCTAAGGTTTTTCTTTTTTTGCTAAGATATATCTTGCTGTGAACTGTTCCTACTAATCAAGTTGCGAAATTATCAATTCTTTCCTATATTTTTATTATTAGGATTGCAAACATGTATAAAAATCGAACCGTTAGATTTACACCATAGCTTGTCTGTATAGGAATCTCTTTGAACTTCAGTGTTTTCATACATTAGCTTCAATTGTATAGATCAAAGCCATAGACTCCACGTCAGGTAATTTTACAATTGATGTTTCGTTAAAATTGCAGAGCAGATGCACAAACATCCACTCGTCGATGGCCAACAGAAGAATGGGAACAAAGTGCAGTGAAAGCTGATGCAGCCGCACACAATCTTACTTTGCAAATTATTTATGTATCTTGCGATCTGAAAAGTGCTGGATCGCTTGTCAAAACTGCTGAAATGCGTTCTTCGTTATTAGCACAAAAGTTGCAGTTTATTGCAGATCACCAACGACAGCTGGAAGCAAGTTTTGCACTCCCTTCACTTCCTTCTTTAAACAGTTATCAATGATGTGCATGTTTTGATTATATATATCTAGAGATAGCAGCTTAAGACTAATTGGATATTTTAGTTTTTGAGTAATGATATTCATTTTGAACGTTTGGCAGTGTTTTAAGGGTTCTGAATTTCCATTACGACAATGATTGGTAGGTAAATATTTGCCATTATCTTGCGTTTTTTATATGCTATCCTTTACAAGCATGCAGTTAGACTTTGCACACTTGGATAATGGCAATGGATCGGTGATTTATATTTGTTTCAACGATTCATCATCCGCCTTTGATAAATCCAATATATAAAATACTTGATTTTTAGTAAGCAACTGTAAACAAAAAAAAAAAGCTAAAACTGCATTATGTCGCAACACAGAAAAATATTTCCAACACAAAAAAATTAATAAAAGTAAAATTCATAGGAAGGTCCTACACCGGTCGTGCACAGCTTTTTCACTCCGCTCATTAACAATGCTTTCTACATCCATTTCTGACCGAATTATTCGCAGCTATAAAAATTGAGCTTAGCAAGCGTAATGTCAAACTATGTTTATTCTAATTATTCCGTGTACTGGAACAAAAAGTGATGTTTATTTGAGTTTTAAGGAAACGAAAATGAATCATATAGAAAACTAACGGTATTTTGGGCATTGCGAATATCTATTATTGGGGATTTTTCTTTTCGTAGACAGGCAATGTTTGCTTGATTTTCGTCGACACAATGTTGTATCAAATTCATCCTTTTAATTCTCATAGTTAACAACTGGAAATAGCATTTCGCATATCTTTGCTAATTAATTAGTGGAATTTCCATCAAGAAAATACTCTAAGATGACGTAATAAATGTTCTGTTTGAGCATAAAATATTCAAGAAACTGAAAAAAAAAAATCATCCAGAAGCGGTCAGGACTTTCTACGATGAAGGCGTTGATTTGGAACTTCACCTTTCTGAAAACAAAGATGAAGAAAAACTGAAAACTAAAAAAAAAACCTGAAAACTCTGAAACTGTTTTTCGAAGAAAAAAAATCTTAAAACTTGTGTTTTGCAAAGACGGATTATTTCTATCACCTCCTTATAAATTGAACGGCATTTCTCGCCCTTGTCCACATTGACAGCAAATGATTCGCTAGGCAGTGCAGTGTTTAGTTCAAACAATATTTTATCATCGATTTTTCGTAATTTATTCAATATGTCCTGAAAAAACCGACTTTTTGCTGAGAAATGTATGTAGGTCAGATCCTAAATTAATATAGAAGGAAGAAACTCTGGAAAAAATTTGCGGAATTTCGTCACGCCTTACACCCTTTTTTCTATGTATTGGGAATTATTGTTCGATAAATACTACTGTGATGTTTCAAAGATGGTGATTTTCCCCAGTGTTTTGCGTGTAATTCCTAACCTGTCCTCAGTCAGTCCCAAGTGTGCTAGGCACCTAATCTCAATCTCTCATGGCATGTTTTCTTGATCACAGCACGTCGGTCTCATTTACTCTATATCACCATTCAAATTATCAGCACTATTTGCTTCGCACAAGCTTTTTTGTTAGCATACCGAAAAAGAATACACGTGAAATGATCGAAATTTTCATTAAAAAATAATGCTAAGACCTACCTGAAATGCTAAAAGATCAAGACAATCGACCCGTTTTTCATCCATGGAAAGACTAATAAGCAAACTTCCAAAAGCAAACCTAAGAATTAACCTGAAAAATCTGCAAACCTATGTTATACAGAGGAACCGTCACTACAAGTCATATAACACACTATGTTCGTAAAGTTCCGTATTTAGCTGCGTGATTCAAAAAGATCAATTGTACGGGATAACCCGATTCAATTATTTTCAGTTACGAAGTCCTCAGCTGGAAACAGAATGAAACCTTAAACGGTTGAACAAATGATTATCCACAACTTTCGTATTCAAATAACTGAAAGATCTGCAAAGTATAAGCGTAGCTTTTAAGAAAAAGCAATGCTAGTGTTAGTAAAAAACGCTAGTCTCAGTGAGACATCTCTTAGGCCAAATATCTAAAAATTTATTGACAATTACATTCCAGCACATCAAAAATAATGCAAATCATTGACCGAACTGTTAAAGTATGTGGCTATAAACTAATACATACCAATATGCAACAGGAAGTGTGTAAATAATAGTAGATTATCTTTAGGGCCGGTGGATGCTCTCGTCGAAGCCAAATTTAATATCTCGATCATTTGTTCTTTTCATAATCGTTCATATAATACAAATTTTCAGTTCGATAGTCACAGCAAACGACATTAGCTTTACGTGAAACTTCGGAAACAATAGTTACTGAGGATGAATATCTGTATTTCCAGATTCCTCAATCATTTTAAGACTCGATTTTTGTTCCGAATCTTGTTGAAAGTGTATGAATGACTTTCTCATATCGTGACGACAGTTGGCAATACCCATACCGAAACCCATGCCTACGCCTAACCAAAGTGGAAAATGCCTTTTAAATATTGCAGCAGTTATTAAACCAACGGTCCCAGCACTTACAGTCTTCAGTGCTGTATCTGCAAGACATCGATCGAAAGTTTCATTAAGCTGATCTTCCGATTTCTTCACCATTTGATATATGACTCTGTAATGATTACGTAAAACTAGTCCACATCATCAAAATTATAACAATACCTTATGCAGTGAGGCAGTGTAAATTAAATTTTACAAAATAATTTTATAACACCTATAACAATTTTACAAGACAATATAATGCACCGATATTATCTATTTTGGTTTTTTAGTGGAAAGTGTGACTTCTTCAGATATCCAACACATACTACTACTTTTAATTATCCATTCAGATGAGCACAAATAACAAATAAGTGTGCCTTAAAAAATTTCCCTATAATATCTATGATATTTCAAGTGTCGATAGCTTGGAACTAACCGATAGGACGAGAGAGAGCACACTACCTTTTCTGTATACGTTACACGACAACTGAAATTAACTCAAGAGTTGTTGAGATATAAATGAAAGCTATGCAAAAAATCATAACGTCTGAAAATGGAATGGAATCAAAATAGTAAAAAAAAGCTTAACCGCTGTCATTGATAGCCACTTCGAGAACTTCAGGACCTGAATTTTCCTATGATTCTCTTACAAAGGAAGATAAAAGCTGAGTCGAAATTGATCTATTCAAAAATGTTTCAGGACTAATCCCACTAAAACGATAGTTACACATAATACCTCTTCATGTTTCAGAACTTATTCAAACCCACGACATTTCCGATACAGTCAACCAATGGTTCATTGACAGTTAAGCAAGTGCTAACCGCGAAATACAGGGAAGGAGTCGAGTTTATCGTGGGGTAGCGAGAATGTATGTTGCATTGTATAGTAGTGTTTGCTGAGAGTTCACCGATTCGCTATCTGAATTAGGTTGGAGTAAGGCGTTATCAAGTTACTGCAGTGTCCCACTTCTATACTTGCCTTTGCAGTTCAAATGGCACTGATCTGGAATGTGGTTGTGTGAAGGATTACTGCAGTATGACTACGTGGTGTGATATTCTACATGTATACGTGTGTGTTCACCGTGTTTCTCCGAAAATAGGACAGGGTCTTATATTATTCCCTCTCCTCCCAAAAAAAAGAAAAAAGAAAACATGCTGGGGCTTATTTTCAAGGGATGTCTTGTTTTCGAGGAAACACCGGTAGTACTTTCCTTGTCCACTTGCTTACTGAGGTCATCGTACCCATTCTGGCTTTTACCACGTAGGGGAACGAGTCATCGAAGAGCATTAGAGAGATAAGTTTGGAGACTCGATGCGGCCAGTCGGCGTATATAGCCCGCATCCGTATTCAACGGTGACGAGGTGGGAAATGGCCAGCACGGAGTGGGGGTGGGCCCGAGGTCTCATCCAGGGCTTGGTGCGTCTGCAGGAAGCACCGACATTGGCCGGCATTGGTGCTTCCTGAGGCTGCGGCAAGGTCGGACTGGTCATATTTTCAGGAGGGGGCTTACATTAGGTTCTTCTTATATAAAGAAAATGTCCCTAGAGCCTATTTTCAAGGATTTATTTTCGGAGAAATACAGTATATATCCATATATCCTATTATCCACATACGTTTTTGTTCACTCTGATTTTTTGGTAGATTTAAGACTTTTCTGATTGAAATTATAGACTTAATCCTACTGTTAATAGCAATTCTTATAATAAAGCTATGCAGTAAAATTTCGGTACCTATGGTACTTTCATCCTTTGCACTCATTTTCAAATTCTCTTCTTCAGAGTCCGAATTAATAAAAAGGAGGAATTTTATGTAATCAGTTCTGCGAATAGGATGCGTTTTCCCAAAATCCATAGTGAGTAGTAGCACTTAAATTAGTTTCGTATAAGTGCCCTTCTTATGACTACACATGAATGAGTCCAGGATTTGTACCACAGAATAATGTTCGAGTGTTTTAGTTAAGGTGGAAATGGCAATGGAACAGCTCGTAGAAATGTATAATGAAATCGAAGACAACCATTCATGGAATTCTGTTTATCAGGTATCATACTTTTGATTCTTGTCTCACACAATCTATCTTAAATGATTCACTTAGGATCAGCGTGTAATATGTGTTGATCGATTTTAGGAGATAGATAAACAATCTTGCAAAGAAGAGAGAAAATTGAAACTGACAACAAAGGTTGCGCATTCATGGGAGAATGCTGATCGAAATCGTTATCGAAACGTCTTAGCATGTTGGTTTATTTGTTGTTCACTTCCAAAATTATGTGCGTAATGTTTGTGTAATGTTTTAGGATGCATTCTCCTGGCCCTCTTTTAAAAATAATATTTCACAGTGTCATTAACACTGTCGACTAGTGATGATATCGTGGAATATCATCTCCAAATTAGTGATGACTGATACCACTGGTGCATTCTTATTATTACAATGTCTTATTATTATATTTGTAACCTTAATTTCCAGATGATACAAGTCGTGTTGTGTTGAAGCGGGAAAATAGTGAACGATCTGATTATATTAATGCTTCGCGACTAGTTGTTCCAACTGCCAAACGTAATTATATTTTAACACAGGTTATTGTGAATTTATGAAATTTACAATTTCATAACGAAGTTCAAATGTTTACTTCAAGTGCTTCCGTTTATTGTTTCAGGGGCCACTTTCAACAACTAGTAACGATTTTTGGCAAATGGTGTGGGAGCAGAATAGTACGCTTATAATTATGTTAAATAAGCTGGTAGAAAAGGGACTACCGAAGTACGTTGTACTTTCTTTGATTATACTGTGTTGGATTTTTGATTTCAGAGGCCGAGCACTTTTTTTTTTAATTTAAAAAAAAAAAACAACCGTTTTTTGAAAAAAAGAACCTTTCGGATATAATGACGTTTGAATATTGTTGGATTAATTTATAGTTATTCATTTACATTTTTGGAAATTATTGATACTTTCAGATGTCATGATTATTTTCCGTCTTTGAGTAGTCCTGCGCGCGAGTTCGATTCTTTTAATGTGGTTTTAAAAGACGAACAAGATTTTGATGACTATGTGATTCGAGATTTGGAACTCTTACGAAAAACTGGCGATATTTTGTTAGAAAAAGATGAACCGGATGGACCATTTTCACGCATGGTCAAACATTTTCATTTCACAAGTTGGCCTGATTTTGGTAATTAGTTTTTTTTTTTCGTCCAAAAAGCAAATTAATTAGATTTGCACTCTTGCATAATGGAATAATTTACTTCATGTTTCTGTTTAGGTGTCCCTCATTCAACTGCTGTGTTTATTGGATTTTTACAAAAAGTACGTGACACCGGACTTTTGTCTGGAAAAGAACCTACTGTAGTGCATTGTTCAGCTGGTATCGGTCGAAGTGGGACATTTGTGGTAGCAGACTCAGTTTTGTCAATGGTATTCCATTTCTAATAAATTGAATTCCAGGATTTCAGTAGTAGTGCTTTATTGTTTTCCATCTTTTTAATAATTTGCTTACTTAATTCTTTTGGTTTATTGGTTTACTGTTTTTATGTGCTTTTTTTCCTCATCTTCTTTATTTTTTTTCTTTCCTTGATGATTTAAAATCTGTCATCTTGGTATACAAATTTTAACCGATGACAATTTTCAGGTTGAACAAAATGTAAAGAAGATTGACGTAACAAACTTGGTTATAGAAATGAGGAGGTCAAGGATGGGATTGATTCAAACACCACAGCAGTTGCAGTTTTGTTGGAAAACCATCGCTGATGCATTACGACAGGGAGTTATTACTAAAAATATGAAATGTGATAAGGAGAAATTTGTCAGCGATAAATTTGGGAGGGATCTTTTGGCTGTGCCTAACAATCATAATAATGGCGAAACGAATGAAATACCACACTTAGAAAGATCTCAAGCAAACCAGATGACTACGGATTTACATTCCAAGTCTTGTAGTGACTTGTCACCTCTTCGGAAAAGAGCTTCCACGGACTCTTACGAAACGGATAAGGAAACAAAACATGCAAAAAGGTATTCGGAAATCTTATTCTTTTAGTTGATAGTTAAGAAGCTGAGCAAGGACTAATAAAATTATTGAAAGTGTCCGTTTTTTAAATACCAAGGAATTTTCTCGACGTCCTTCTAACATTTGCAGATCTCTTTGTTCGCATTCATTTTGAATGATTTTATTATAGTGATTCAGGAAGAAGCGTATAGAGGGCATGCGTGCGCGCCTCTTGAAATGTGAAAGTGCTCGTAAAAAATGGCATCACATGACGATTGGTTGCACTGGTATTGGATGCACATGTGCAGCAGTTGCAGTTGCCTTTGCTGTATATTGCATTTATCGTTTAACCTCATGATATCACTGATATCATTTGTTTCCAATTTAATTCAATTGTGATTTTGTGGAGTGACAAATTTGTTCACAAAATTCGTAAAAGTGGTCTATTAAATATAAGAACTGTTCATCAGGAAAAATTTGTAATTGTATATCGAAGAATAATCGGGAATCTGTTACTATATCTAAGGCAGCTTAGTTGATTCTTGTGGAAGTAATAATGCATGTCGGACGCCTTTATTTTTCACTGTAGTTATAAAAGCTTTGGAAGCATTAGTTTTTTTTTTGCTTTTTATATCTTCTTTATGTTGTACGCACGTCATTATCCTGCACGGTAGCTTAATTTAGTATTTTATATGTTCCTTTTTTCTGTTTAAAAGTTTTTCTTTCTGTTATTTGTAACGATATATTTCAAGCGTCATATTTTTTCTTGGGATTTATGCATTCTTGGCATAATTCTTTTACCAGTTGACGAATTTACATTGAATTGTATCCGATACATTCAAATTTTCTTGGTATACTTACAGTCGCGCAAAATTGCTTTTTCCAGTTATCTTACTTACAGAATGATAGATTTTAAGTTGTAAGAGATTAATTTCAAGGAATTACCACCAACAATTTTCGAAGGAATGTTGAATTTCCCACTTGTATTGTTGTATCTTGCATGATCATTTACCTATATTTATAGCACTCATAAATCCAGGAATTCGACACTATACTACCAATACTGCCGTAACCACTCACTGTAGGGTATTTTGTGTGATGGCATGGTTACATATACTTTTATGTGCCATCTAGAAGATGTCAAGACATCAGCTTTAATTACATAACGTGAAGACAGGCTGAAGGAAATTCTGGTTCTGAATGTGCTGCACGTAAGAACTTTGTTGGTTTGTGATCGTCCTACTATTTTCTCACTTATGCCATTGAAATCACCATTTTTCTCTTTCTTTGCAGAATTACTGTTTTGCGCGTCGCAGTAAAAACAACAGTGTTTTAAGTTTTTTTTTTTTTTTCCCATATCTCTGTCTTTCTTTTTCCACCTTTCCATTTGAATTTGTAATGTGCCGTTTTCTGTTGTATTTTTAAGTGATGTTTTAAATTTAATTGAATCATTCCACATCGTTTCTTTTCTGTGCTCAACATTGTTATGCACCTACTTGTATGCAGCGCCTTTTTTAATGTTTTTTTTAGTAGTGATAGGTGGATCTTCGTTAGATGTATAGGTTTCAAATTTTGGCGCAGCATCTTTAGTATTTTGCTTAATTTATAACTGAATACTGTCAGGATTAGCTAGATGCTCATCTGAGGTTTTTAATTGTTTTCGTGTTTGTTAATACGTTTTTTTTAAACGAAAATAATTGTTAAATAATAACTGTTTTCAAAAATTCTGAAGTGTTCATCCATGGCTACGCATCATTACCTTCCTATAATGTCTAGATCATTTCGGAAATATGAAGTTGGATGAATTTCTATTACAACAAACGTGATTTTTTTTTATGTTAATAATGTCTTAATTTTGTAAGAAGGCGAGACCATTTCAGGTGTTCTTGCTAATTTGGATTTAATGTTTGGTACCAGTAATGCTTTTGGCTCAAGACCAAATAGTATATTTTCATCCGGCACAGCCAATACGAGTCAGAATCCGCTGAACGATATTGAAGTGGGTTGCGCCATTCTCTATTTTTCGGATAAAGTTTACATTAATTTAATTACTCATGGGTGCTTGAACATTAATCAGGGTTTAGGAAGGGGAGATCTGAAATGCTCAATTTCGGGACTAATTATAAGTACTTCGATAGACTATTAGATTTTTATGTATTCTTGGCTATTGGATTTGCAGTCTTTGATTTTCTGCAAATGTTTTTTCGCGGTGCAATGCGGGGACTTTCAAGATGACGATAAGAAAGTCATTTCAAGTGATCCTAAGCGTTTGCTTAGCAATTAATGTAGGTATGAAGTAATATGTTTATTGTCTAAATAATTGATAGAGTGACTTAGGACTTTTCTCTGTGCATTTTTAGATGCCAAATTCTCCAAACGGTATGTGTTTTTAGGTGCCATCACCACCCGATGATACAGTTGAAGCGCTAAAATTTAACCCACAGATTGCCGGTCAGCCAGTTTTGCTTGTTTCGGGTAGTTGGGATTCGGTGGTCCGCGTATGGCAGATTAGTGAAAGTGGTCAGTGTGAAGCAAAAGCGCAACAAAATGTTGCGGGACCAGTTTTAGATCTTGACTGGCTTGATGTAAGTTCGGTTATCATTTCAGGCAACAGGACCTTAGTCCAATATTTATCTTTTAGTTTGTTTCATTACATGAAGCCTTATTAAGGAAATATGGAAAGTTCGAGTTTATAATTTTTATCTCTCTGTCAAAATTTCTATCTTCGGACTTATAATCGCTATTATTTCTTCGAATGTTGTATTGTTTTGCTCAACTTTTTTAATTTTTTTGGATTGATTGGTTGTTCATCAAAAATCCATCTTTTGAAACAGTGATATGCACAATCCTCTCGTATTGTTTCTCACTAGCTGATTGAAAGTTCGCTAAAGGTAAAAGGAATACTGGGGATCGTGTAGCATGCCGCTACTTTAAAATGATTTAATCTTTCGTCAGTTAACTAATTTCCTTGGCATCCATTGACCAGATACGATGGATGACTGATTAAACTAAGTGAAGTATGTGATGGGGAAATATAATATGCGATGTGTGATTGATTAAATCATCTTGATATTTATCGATATCACAGAGTGATTAACTATGGTCCATATGATAAAAATATCTGCATCATTTTAGGATGGTACCAAAATCTTTATTGCAAGTGCGGATAAGCAGGTGCGAGTTTGGGATCTTGCTTCAAATCAAGTAGCCGTCGTGGGAACAGTGAGCTTTCTCATATTCTCGTAAACATCTTAAACATCTCTCACTGGAGCCCTAATATTCTTTTTTTTTTTGCTTGATTTTCAGCACGATGAACCTGTCAGGAAGTGTCACTGGATCAAAGCTCCCAATTATAGCTGTTTAATGACTGGATCATGGGATAAAACTTTACGGTTAGTATCATTGTTTCGGTATTTGTTGTTCGCTCAGTTCTGTGAAATTTTGATTTGTTACTGATTGAGAAATGAGTCATTCATAAAATTACGTACATTGAGAAGCGCTTCTTTACTCACAGGTTATCCACTAATTAATCATACGACTCCACCTTCTAAATTTTTGCATCCCGTTATTATTCATCTCGTTATATTACAATTCAGAGTTTTTTATCAACTAAATAAACTTCAAGGAGTTCTGATTCATTGCAGATTTTGGGACATGAGACAATTACCCACGCAAGCATCTTTAGCAACAGTACAGCTTGGGGAACGTGTTTATTGTAGCGATGTGTTATTTCCTATGGGTATTGTTGGTCTCGCCAACCGGCGTATGAAGGTTAGCGTATTACTCGTAATCATTTTATTGTATGGATATATAATTGTTATGGAGCGACTTGTTCTGATATGATCCCTTAATTAATATTATTATTATGATATGACAGCAATGAAGTATCTGTCAGGAAATTCCATTCTCATGTCCAAAAACAGATTATCTTGAAAATCTGGAAATTTATGAATTATTGCAGATTTACAGATTGGACAACGAACCATCTGAAGTGAAAGATATCGAAACTCCATTGAAGTACCAGGTGAGCTGAAATGTGTAGTACTTTCAAAAAAGTAATATTTATCTTTTTGACTGCATATGCATGCGTATGATATGTTTGCTTATTTAAGGCATCAGTAGCTGTTCGAGTTTTTAAACATAATTCTTATTCCAGAGCCGCTGTGCTTCAATTTTCAAAGAGAAAACAACTGGACTGCCCACTGGATATGCTCTTGGGTCTATTGAAGGTCGAGTTGCAATACAGTATGTGGAAGCTGCTAACCCAAAAGATAATTTCACCTTTAAGTGTCATCGCTCGCCAGAATTGATTAACGGATTCCAGGAAATCTACGCCGTAAGTATTCCTTTAATTTATCATGTTGACTTGAGATCTGTTAATCTAGAATGGTAGATTGACACAAGTTTACTTTTCATCTTACTTTGGCTCTTGCGTGATATTTCAGTACTTCATTGATTGTATTAGTATTAAAGCTTATTGACATATATATTATATACCAATTTCATATATATTATATACCAATTGACATATATATCAATTAAAATTGTTTAAATTTCTGTATAATCTATTGCTACTGATAATTGAAACATATTGTCCTCAGCATACTGATATAACGCATAGTAGTCGTGCAGGCTACTGTGCTGCACTATAAATAGTGTGTCCTGCCCTTGTTGAATGTCGATATGTTGTTAGGGTAGTTGCTTTACTTTTGAAAGTTTTTGGGCGCATTACTAGAAAGGGGAAGTCAGATAAAACAGAACTGAGGTCAGGACTGAGGAATATTCTTTAAAATCATGAAAATTGATTCGTGGAATTGCAGAAAATATTAATTTATATCAATTTTATCAAGTCGATATATGAGTACTCCAGAAGTTAACATTCTAATAAGTCAGTTCTGTATTCCCGTTGATCGAACTTGAACATATACATGTTTTTTTTCAGGTGAATGATATCTCATTTCATCCAAATTATGGAACACTGGCAACTGTTGGTTCTGATGGCCGAATTTCATTTTGGGACAAAGATGCACGAACAAAATTGAAAACATCAGATCCACTACCAGCACCTGTAACGCGGTGTGTTATACATCCTTCAGGACAGATGATGGCCTATGCTATCGGTTACGATTGGAGTAAGGTATTGATTTACACTCTTTTCCGTAAACCGAGGATCTTTTGTAAATGTATGTCTCTTTATAATGATTTTATTTATCACAATTAGACAAGTTGAATTTTAGCCGATTTCATCAAAAAGGAAACAGATTAGGATTCAAGAACGCTGCAATAAATTATTATACATTAGTAGGACATTCCTTCAGGGCCATGAGGGATATAATCCTCAAATTGCCGGAAGCAAAATCTTTTTACACGCGTGTGATGAAGACATGAAACCTAAACAGAAGAAGTAATGCGCAAAAATTCTTCAACGTTGTCTCATATGAACTTGTTCAACTCCTTAAGTGAAATTTTTATTTGTGCTTTTCATCCATCACATAGAATGATTGAGTGAAAGGATTAATTATTGACAGACTTTTTCAAAAGAGGAAGCAAAAATCATTTATTTTAATTTCTTCCAGAT